CTGCCTCAATAAAATGTCCTCTAGCGATCTGGCATTCAAGATTAGGACATCCTGCCATTTCCATTTTAAAATCTGCTATATCTCCTTTGTTGTTTTCAGCCTCTAAAAAATCATCTTCTTTTCACTGCACTGATTATTCAATTAATAAAAGTCACAAATTGCCTTTTTCTATTTTTTCCTCTTTCTCCTCAACAAAACCTCTTGAGCTTATATATTTAGATATCTGGATTTCGCCAATTAATATTTTTTCCATTAATGGGTGTAAATATTTTGTGATTTTTGTGGATCACTTCACACATCATGTCTGGTTCTATCCACTTTGCAGAAAATTTGATGTTCGACACACATTCATTCGGTGGAAAGCACTTGTGGAGAAACAATTTCAGAATAATTTGATCTCATTCTATTCAGACAACGGTAGAGAGTACGTTTCCCTAGCTGATTTCCTTGCAACAAATGGTGTCTCTCATCTCACTACTCCACCGCATACACCCGAACACAACGGATTCTCCAAATGACGGCACAGACAGTGGAAACAGGCCTTGCTGTCCTCACTCATGCCTCAATGCCCACGAACTACTGGACATATGCACTCGCAGCAATTTACCTTATCAATCACTTACCAACACCGACGTTATCGCTCGTCTTTCCGTACGAGAAGCTATTTGGCGCTGCTCCTAATTATACAAAGCTGTCTGTGGTTGGATGCCTTTGTTTCCCATAGCTCAAGCCATACATACACCACTAGCTCAACTCACGCTTACAACCGTGCATATTTTTGGGATATTTACTAAGCCAGAGAGCATTTCTCTGTCTGGAGCCGGTGAGTTCTCGTATTTTTGATTCTTGCCATGTCCAATATGTGGAATAAAATTCCCTTTTCATTCTCTCTCTTCTCCTTCACCAAAATCTGTTTCAATTTTCCCAACATGGTGCTGCCAGGCACCACAATCTCGATGCCACTGCAGAAATCTCTATCATCAGCAATGCCCCCAGGTTCAGATTCTTTACTAACAAATACTGCTTTACCAGAGACAACTAATTAATTTGGAGATGCTGGTAATCTAGAATTGCAGGACACACCGAGTGAATCTTCCTCTTCGACCATGGAATCTAGAATTGCTGGTAATACTGCTTTGCCTTCCTGCAAACTCTGTTCCAACAGCAGCTGGCCTAGTTGTCAATTCACACCCAATGCAAACACGTGGGAAAAATAATACTGCTTTGCCTTCCTGCAAACTCTGTTCCAACAGCAGCTGGCCTAGTTGTCAATTCACACCCAATGCAAACACGTGGGAAAAATAATATCACCAGACCTTTGCAGAAATTTCCATGGTTGCTCTCACTTCGTTACAGTCAGATGATGAACCTGCAAATGTAACACAAACCATGAAAGATGAGCGCTGGCGAAATTCCATGTCTACTGAATTTAATTCTCAAGTTCAGTTACAAACATGGGATCTTGTTACTCCTTCTCCAGACTACAATTTAATCAGGAACAAGTGGGTTTTTCGTACGAAGTGCCGCCCAGATGGTTTTGTTGAACGATTCAAGTCACATCTTGACACAAAAGGGTTTCATCAACGTCATGGCATCAATTTTCAGGAATGTTCAGCCCTCTTGTCAAGCACTCTACTGTTCTCATATTACTAGGAGTTGCAGTATCTTGTGATTGGCCCTTGCGACAGCATGATGTTAACAACACATTTTTGCAGGGTCGGTTAACTGAGGATGTGTATATGTCACAGCCGGTTGGCTTTGTGAACAAAAGATAAACTGCATAATGTCTACAAATTGAAGAAAGCACTCTATGAATTGAAACAAGCTCCTAAAGCATGGTACATGGAGCTTCAGAATTTTCTCACTCAATCTGGTTTTGTGAACTCTTTGGCTGATGCATCGTTGTTTATTTTTTTCACTCGGGAAACATACACACTTGTATATGTTGATGACATAATGGTTACAGGGAACAACCCTATGATGCTAAGAGAATCAAGGGTTACTTTTAGCTTCACGTTTTAAACTTATAACCCTAAATATCTGCAAGTGCACAGATGTACGCTGTAGTACTTAGGAGTCGAACCACAGAGATTTTAAGCTTTCAGCACGAATCAATCAAAACTTAAGACTAGTAGAACAAGCAAAATGGGGGTTTTTGGTTTTGGTGTGACTAAATCTAAATGCAAACAAAATAAAGAAGTTGTAAAACAATAAGGATTAAGCGCTGGGTCTAAAGGGTTTTCGCAGGGATTCATGAATTGATCAAAAGAAAGAAAAATTGATAAAGGTAATCATATAGTGAGGATCCCGAACTCGAATAGGCGCAGGTATGATTAGCCAACTCTTGCCACCCTAATCATCTAATCACTCAACACAACAATTAACTATCGCTCTGATGCTGCGAATAAGATCATGTATTAGAAATAGAATTCGTCCACGCTCGCGATTCTCTATAGGTAGCTTTCCTCTCCTATAGCGAATTCGCTCGGTCACTTCTAGGTCTGGTAATTCGATACAACACTCTCGTGGCTCCAATTACTGAGATCAATTTCTAAGCGGTTAGCAATAGAAAAAGCATAGGGAACAAGAATGAACAAATGACTCGTAGAAGATTAATAGCCCTAAATCGAACAAATCATATGATCAAGACATGAAATTCCCTTTGAAAAATCCCTTAAAAACTCAACTGGGAAATTACTCAGACATGGCTGAGTTTAACATCACAAAAGTATTTAGAATTGCAGAGAATTGAAATAGACAAAGGTTAGAAACGAAGAACAGGTTGAAGTAGGAGGGCTGATGGTGCCCCTCTCGGTGGCTCCTCTTCAAGGTGAGTCTCTCTCTCTAGGGTTCTTGGTGAAAACGCGGCATACCCTTCTAAATGACTTAAAAGTGGTTTATATAGTGTCTTGAGTCCTCGAGAACACTTAGGACTTGCAGGAATAATGACGGGAATGACTTGGGCTTTAAAATGGGCTTCTGAGGCTCAGAAATAAGCTCCCCACGGTCAAAAATTTCGCACTCCCGGTGGATGATGTTTTGGCCGCGGGTGAGCTTTCGACTGTGTTTATTCGCCTTCAATGCATCGACCATATTTGGAGATCTAACCATTGGATTGCTTTAATTCGACTTGCATTGGAAAGCTGGTTTTCTCCTCTATCTTATGTCAAAATGTGAGGATGATAAGACGGTGGGGAGGCCTCCATTTGTTAACAAACTTCCGACAGTTTGAATTTATCCAAAGTTATGCTTTTTGCTCCCAAGTGCATTCCTTTTGTCAAAATATCCTGAAAACTCTTTTGAGACTCTAAAATATGGAAATAACTTAAAAACCTTTAAAACTGAGTAAAAAAACCTGCATAAGATATTAAAAGTGATTCATAAAAATGGTCAAAATCAGGTGTTACCAACTTCCCAAGACTTAAACATTTGTTTGCCCCCAAACAAAAATCAAAGTTGGGAAAGAGGTTTGAAAAACGCAGGAACTAAATAGTATCTCAAGGACCATGCTTCTAAACCAAAGTTAGTCATTAGGCTCAAATAAGGGGTAGTCTAGAAAATTCTCACTAAAATACAGGCATAACTAGTTCGTTGATCCATCATGCAAAAGTCTAGATGCTTAAACATATCCTCCAGTCAACTAGCTCTTAATATTCATTTATAAGTTCCAGTTGTTCTCATCAAAAGGATTTAGTAAAACAATCACGGCTAGATATTCAAAATGGCTGTTTAAAGGGTGATGTTCTTAGTGTTTAGGGTTACATTTTCTGGAGAGAGAAGACATTATGCAAAACAGCAAGAGAGAGTGGAGCTGTTGATATCCACAGTTTCCAGTCACATTCTTCGGTCCTTAAGATTCTTAATCTCCTTTCTTTAGGTTCTTCTCATGACTTGTCCAGGTTTTTGTCCAGGTTTTAAAACCAATGCTCACAAATGAATACTTACAGCCTTTGCTTCAAATAATTTCGGCCATCCTTGACTCTTTTAGGCTTTTTGTTTTTCCTTTATTTTCATTTTATTTTTATTTTTATTTTTTTTGGTTTTTTGAAAGGGGAAAATTTCTTTAATGCAGAGTCTTAGGAGGCACAAAATTTACCTTCAAGTTCAAGCTTTTTGAGGCACCATTAAGCTTTGATGGATTCTTGATGTTCCACTTTCCCAAATTTCTTCAGTCCTTCTCTTGAGTGACTGTAAACCATGTTGTTCCTCCCTCTCTGGCATTTTTGCACATATCTGTCGATATAAACTAAAGACAGAATGCATGAGGTTTGAACATAAAGGTTTGGGTAAAGGGTGTGGTACCAGCTAAAGATGAACTGGCCATCTAGGACAATAAATAGTGGTAATAATAGGGTGAAGATGTACTAGATGTCGTATCATGATGCCTGCTAAAAATGATGATGAGAAAATTAGATGGCAAGATTATGTTCAAGTGAAATGAGCTAGTATATCCTGGCAGAAAATATCTCCATGAATAGAAATCATCTGGTGGGAGTTCGTAGTGCAAGTACTCTAGCTATCGCCTAGTCTAGTACTAACCACAAAAGAACTAGCATGTAGAATCTAGAAGCACATGGTTTTGTTTTCGGCGTTCCTGTTTTGAAAACATTTTTGAAATTTTTTTATGAAAGATTTTTTTATGAAATACTAACTCAAAACAAACCAAATTTCATTTGTAAAGGATGAGCATCCTCCTCCAGACTTAAATCACACTGCCCCCAGTGTGATAAATCTTTGAGAGGACGGGATAATGATGGATTGAAATTTGCAATGTTTAGGTGTACTTACCTGGCGATGTTCAGCAGCTTTTGATGTGTTTTCTGGTTCGTGATTTCTGTTGTCCATTTATTCGTTCTTTGCTAAAAAACCTGAAATTATAGAAAACAAAAACCAAGCAGCAAAAATAGAAAATGCAAATCAAAGGGAATAAGTAAAATACCTAGTGGGTTGCTTCCCACTAAGCGCTTGCTTAAAGTCATTAGCTTGACTTTGATGATGCTTTAGCCTGGCGGATCTGCTAATAGCATTTCTTCTCTTCCTTCTTCTTCTGCAAGATACTGTTTGACACGCTGTCCGTTAACGACAAATGTATCTCCCTTCTTACCCCAAAGAATGAGTGCTCCATACGGTTTGACTTCCTTTACTGTGAAAGGTCCAGACCATCTTGATCGTAGCTTTCATGGAAAAGTCTTAAGGCGAGAACTGAAAAGAAGAACCCTATCATTCGGAGCAAAGGATCGATGTATGATCCTTATGTTGTGATATGCCTTCGTCTTCTCCTTGTATATCTTGGAATTTTCGTAGGCATTGTGGCGGATCTCTTCTAACTCGTGCATTTGAAGCATTCTTCTTTCTCCAGCTGCCTGAAAGTTCATGTTCATCTTCTTAATAGTCCATTGTGCTTTGTACTCCAGCTCTATAGGAAGATGACATGCTTTCCCGTACACAAGATTGAATGGAGTGGTCCCTAAAGGGGTTTTGTATGCCGTCTGATTGGCCCAAAGTGCATTGTTGAGTTTTTCAGACCAATCTTTTTGATTTACGCCAGTTGTCTTTTGTAAGATTGATTTGATTTTTCTGTTAGAGATTTTCACTTGTCCATTTGTCTGAGGGTGATATGGCGATGCAAATTTATGCATTACCTCATTCTTTTTGAGCAGATTTTCAAAAACTCTATTGATGAAATGGGATCCTCCATCGCTTATCACAATCCGAGGAATTCCAAAGCAAGGGAAGATAATTGATTTAAACATCTTTATAACCCCTTTTGCATCTTTAGTTGGGCTGGTGATTGCTTCTACCTATTTAGAGACATAGTCTACCGCTACTAAAATGTATTGTTTTCCAAAAGAAGTTGGGAAAGGTCTCATAAAATCAATTCCCCATACATCAATGATTTCGACTTCTAAAATGAAGTTTTGAGGCATCTCATTCCTCTTACTGTTGTTGCACATTCGTGGGCACGAATCACAGCGTGAGATGTAGGCGTGAGTGTCTTTGAACATAGTAGGCCACCAAAATCCTGCTTGAAGGACTTTTGAAACTGTTTTGTAGGTTGCGAACACACCTTCTGACTAAACCATCTACACATCTCCTATAGAGAAAAGGTTCATCCCAGAAATAGTGCCGGATTTCTCTTAAGAATTTCTTCTTTTTATAGCCAAAGAATTATGGAGGTTCGATGTCTGAAGCTAAGTAATTTGCTATATGCCTAAACCATCGGGTGTCAAAAGCATCTGACCGCCGTATAGGAGGTTGGGATGGCTTTTCTTGCACGGTAAAAGGTATAGTCTCCATAGCGTAGACATTTTCTTCTGGAAAACTATCATTCAAAGGGAGTTTCTCTTCTACTCGAATTCTAGAAAGATGATCTGCTACTCCATTATCTGCTCCTTTCTGATCTTGAATTTCAATATCAAACTCTTGCAGCAGAAGTATCCATTTGATCAGCCTTGGTTTGACATTTTTCTTAGACATGAGATACTTGATTGCAGCATGGTCAGTATGGACAATGACCTTAGACCCGACGAGATAAGATCGGAACTTCTTAAATGCAAAACGACGGCTAAAAAGCTCCTTCTCCGTAGTCGCGTAATTACATTGAGCTTCATCCAGATTGCATGTAGTTTCTTTTCTTTCCGCTGACCAAGCACAGGTTCGACAGAAAAATCAATTGCATCACACATGATTTCAAATGGTTGTTCCCAATCGGGCGGTTACACAACTGGAGCGGAAACGAGGACGTTTTTGATCTTATGAAATGCTGCCAAGCACTCATCGAATTCGAAGTTTGTTTCCTAGCAGAGCAGACGTGTGAGAGGTCTAGCAATTTCAGAGAATCCTTTTATGAATCGCCTATAAAATCCGGCATGTCTCAAAAAACTTCGGATTCCTTCACATTTGTTGGAGGTTGTAGGCTAGTCATGACTTTAATTTTTGCTTTATCGACTTCAATACCTTTGCCAGATATTTTATGTCCAAGTACAATCCCTTCTCGGACTGATATATCATGGTTTTTATGGTTTTTAACCATGGTATAGGTCTTATTTATAGAGTCTTTCTAGTGTTTTTTCGAGTCTTTTGGAGTCTTTACAGGTCTTAGGTACGTTTGGAGCTTAATTGGTGTTTTTGAGCAGTTTGGAGCTTAATCAGGATCAAATTCGTCAAGGATGGATTTTGTGCTTTAGTGTCGCTCGACACCATGGAGAGTGACGCTCGACACTTGTTGCAGAAATAAGGAAAACGTGATTTTGTTTCCTGTTTGAAGAAGGAGTTGGGCCCTAAAGTCTCCAATAATTACAAGGAAGCCCAAAACGTGTTTTTAAAGTTATAAATAGGGTTTTTAGCCACCATATATCGATACCTGAGATTTTCTTAGAGAGAACTTTTGTTTTTGAGAGCTTTTGGGGAGACAAGTCTGAAACTCTGTTCCGGAGAGAGAAGATTTCGAACCCCTGTTTATTAATCTATTATTTCTTTTCTGCAATCTATTCATTCATGTTTATTGTTTCAATCTCCATGTCTGAGTAGTTTGCTTGTTAGGTTTAGGGTTCTCATAAAGGATTTCATTGAATGTTAGATTTATTTGTTAATTAGGGTTCATAATCTATTTAGTTCTTCACCATAGGTTGTTCTTAAAGCTAATTCTGGACTGGCCACCTAGAACTTAGATCTTAGGTTAATTGATTGACACGGAAGTGTAATTGAATAACTGGAAAGAACCTAGGGTGAACAAAGTAGCTATTCACAAAGGAATTTGGTTTATATACTTTGTTAACATATCGAACTTTTTAAATCTTTAGGGTTTGCAAAGGAATTTGGAATTCTAGGATTTTAACTTAGATAATTCTCACAACGGAAGTTGGTTAATTATAATTCTGTGATTCGAGTTCAAGAACCGTGCTTAAACCTGAACTCTGATTAATCGATTGTTCTGCATTCATTGATTTCCTGAGAAACGCCCTAGACATAATTCCACCCATCTGAACTTTACAAACGTTTTTACTGCTTACATTTATCTTTATTTGCATCGCTATTTGTTTCTCATTAATCTGATTAGCGTAATTCAATTCCTAATAGGTTTATTGAGCGAATCTCTCGTCTCTGTGGTTCGACCCCTACATACTACAATTGCACATCTGTGCTCTTGCAGAGTAGCTCTAGGGATTAAACTTTGAGCAGATCACGGACCATGAAGTGACATTTTTCACAGTTCAGGACAAGATGCTTGTCTTCACAATGCTGCAAAACTTTTCCTAAGTTTTCCAAGCATTTGTCGAAAGAGGATCCATAGACAGAGAAGTCATCCATGAAGACTTCCATGAAATCTTCGATGAAATCAGTGAAAATATACATCATGCACCGCTGAAAGGTTGCAGGTGCTTTACACAATCCTAAAGACATTCGCCGGTAGGCAAAAATTCCGTATGGACAGGTGAATGTCGTCTTTTCTTGATCTTCTGGTCTAATAGAAATTTTGGAAAATCCAGAATAACCATCTAGAAAACAGTAGTATTCGTGATTTGCCAATCTTTCTAGCATTTGATCAATGAAATGTAAAGAAAAATGATCTTTCCGAGTTGCTGCATTGAGTTTTTGGTAATCGATGCACATTTGATGCCCTGTCACTGTTCTTGTAGCGATCATTTCATCTTTGTCATTTTTGATAACAGTTACTCCTCCCTTCTTTGGGACAACATGCACAGGGCTAACCCAAGTGCTGTCCGAGATAGGGAATATGATTCCTGCTTCCAAAAGCTTCAAGATCTCCTTCTTTACTACTTCCATAAGGTTTGGATTTAATCTTCTTTGGCTTTCAATCGAATTTTTGGCATTTTCCTCAAGATTTATCTTGTGCATATAAAGGTCTGGTGAGATTCCTTGTATGTCATCAAGAGAATAACCTATGGCTTTCCTATGCTTCCTTAACTCATTTAGCAGCTTAGCAGTTTCAGCTCTATTTAGACCAGAATTTATGATAACAGTGTAAGTTGAATTTGATCCAAGAAAAGCATACTTGAGTCCATCAGGAAGAGGTTTAAGCTCGACTTTTGGGGCTTTGAGTTCGCTCCATGGGTTGTTTATAGCTGCCAAGGTATCTTTTGGAGGGGTAGGGATGTGATTTTCTTCATTCAGGTCTAGATAGTTCACAAGTTTCGCATAATCCTCAACTTTATTAAGCATATGCGCACACCCTTTTGAAACTTCTTCTAGCAGGTTGCGATCATCATTTGTGGTGGTGAGGATGATTTTTAAAGGGTCGTCGAGAAGGATTTCTTCATAAACTTCCTCAGTGATTTCATCAAGCTCATCAACCCAGAAAAGTCTGCCATCTAAAATGGTTTCCCAAGACTTTTGTTCATATCAAACTGCATAATTAAACTCCCTAGATGGAGGTCTATTTTTCCTTCCGGAACATTGATTATTGCTCCTGCAGTTGATAGGAACGGTCTACCGAGTATCAGATGATCGTTTGGTTCTCTTTCTAATCCAAGCACTATGAAATCAAGTCGGGATATAGTTTTCTCCTATCATGACTGATACATCAACCAAGACTCATTTTGGTTGTTTGACTGACGATTGGCAAGAATCAGTGCGATTTTTGTGGGCTGGAAAGTATCATATCCTAAACGTTTTGCAACTGAGAGCGGCATCATGTTGATGCTTGATCCCAAGTCACATAGAGAACGTTCAAAAGTCACATTCCTGATTGTGCAAGAGAGTACAAAACTACCCGGATCTTCTTTCTTTTAGGGGACATGGTTCTGTAAAATGGAACTACATTCATGAGTTATCATCATAACGCCTTCTTCTAATGCTAAAATTTTTTTTAGAATGCCCTTCATGTATTTCCTAAGAGCAGGTATCATTGCACAAGCTTCAATGAAAGGTAATCTCACATTTAAGTGCTCAAATATCTCTTTTAGCTTAGCCCTTTCTTTCTCCTTCTTTGGTCCTTTCAGAGCTCGTGGGTATGGTGGTTTGGGCTTGTAGACGCGAGTGAGAGGAGGTGGTACAGGGTCTTTTTCAGCAATTTCTTGAGGAGCGTCTTCCTTTTCCTCTTCTCCCTCTTTCCTGGCTACTGCATTTTCTTCTTTATTAGCCGAATCTCCTCCTTTTTCTCCTTCTTCAAAATATTTTGGATACTCTGGCTCCTTGTAAACTAAACCACTCCTGAGGGTAATTGCTTTTAAGTGATCGGAGGTCTCCAATTCATTTATTCTTTCAGAAAAAAGTTCATCAAGGTCCTTAACAGAGGAATCCGTCTCCTTTGATTTATCACTAATCTGAAGAAGAAAAAGGGTGGAAAGCTTGTTAATATTATCATCATGCCTTTTTGATTGACTCTCCATCTCCTTTTTGAGTCTATTAGCCTCTTTTTCAAGTTCTTCAATCTTGGATAAAGGATAATAAGGAAGAAATGTGGGATTGGATTGATCAGATTGGGTTTCCTCGAAAAAAGGTTGGAAAGGAGGTTGAGAATCAGGCTGGCCGCGGGTGAAGTGCTCTGAGCCGTGGTGAAACTCTTCTTGGCCGCGGCCAAAGGTTTCCCACCCGTGGTGGGTACCAGTTTTGCCGCAGTTGAGAGGCTCAGCCTCTTCAATCTGGTAAACATCAGCGGTTTGCATCATCTCCTGGG